GCACCTGTAATCCCAACTACTCCAGAGGCTGAAGCTTGAGAATCACTTGAACCCTGGAGGCAGAAGTTGCGGTGAGCCGAGATCGCACCATCACACTCCAGCCTGGACTACAGGTGGAGACAAACAGACAAAAAAATTTCAAGTCTGCCTACCCATTGATCTTGGACTTCTAGCCTCTAGAACTGTGAGAAAATAAATTTTATTGTTTAAACAGGTATGTGTGTGTGTGTGTGTGTGTGTGTGCATGCGTAAATTCAGAACATATGACAACAGCAGCAAAAAAAAGTCAGGATGTGGATAAATAGAATAAAAGATTCTAAAATCCAAGTATTATGTAGCTACTCGGGAGATGTTGATCAATATTAAACCTCGATAATTTGATTAATATTATAGTTTTTAGGATAACTAATAAGTAATAGAAATACACACAATGCACGACTTCCAAAATGATAGAAGAAAAAATATGAAAGGACAAAATATACTCAACAAACCTAAATGAAAGCAAGCAAAGAGAAATAAAGAAACATGAAAAAGATAGGAAAACAGCAAGATAAGATGTTATATTTAAATTGAAATATAATAGTAATCATATGTAATATGAATGGACCAATATTTCAGTTAAAAGACAAAGATTGTCAGATTTAAAAAACAAAAGCAACTGAGCATAGTAGCTCATACTTCTAGTCCCAGCTACTTAGGATGCTGAGGTGGGAGGATCACTTGAGCCCAGGAGGTTGAGACCAGCCTGGGCAAGATAGTGAGACTTGTCTCTTAAAAAAAAAAAAAAGAAAGAAAGAAAGAGCAAATTGTGTGCGTTTTGTAAGAGACATATCTCAAACTTTAGATACAGAAAGTAGCAAGTCAAAAATGGGAAAAGAAATTATGCAAATGTCTAAAAGATATCTATTACAGGTCTATCGATAGCAGAAAAAATACACTTTAAAGCAAGAAAGTGTTACCAGAGATTAAGAATGTGATTTCAGGTCGGGTGCGGTGGCTCACGCCTGTAATCCCAGCACTTTGGGAGGCCGAGGCGGGTGGATCACGAGGTCAAGAGATCGAGACCATCCTGGTCAACATTGTGAAACCCCGTCTCTACTAAAAATATATTTAAAAAGTTAGCTGGGCATGGTGGCGCGTGTCTGTAATCCCAGCTACTCAGGAGGCTGAGGCAGGAGAATTGCCTGAACCCAGGAGGCGGAGGTTGCGGTGAGCCGAGATCGCGCCATTGCACTCCAGCCTGGGTAACAAGAGCAAAACTCCGTTTCAAAAAAAAAAAAAGAATGTGATTTTATAATAATCAAAATCTCTGAGAAAATAAAATTTGAATTTATACTATGTAATTACATAGCTTCAAAAATATTTAAAGTAGAAACTGATAGAAAAAGGAAAATGGACAAATTAACAATTTAGAGTACTAGATTTTAACACATCTCTCATCAATTGGTGGATCAAACAGACATGTATAGAAATAGAACAATTAACACAATTCACAAGTTTAATCTTATATTTAGAAAATAGCACCTTGAAATTGCAGAATTACACATTCTTTATAAGCACACAAAGGAAACATGTTAGAATTTTCCATTTTAAGCTACAAATGAAGTAGTCTCAAATTTCAGATGATATAAAACATGTTTTCTGGTCACAATACAATTAAAGTAGACATAAATAAGAAAGAGATAACTAAAATCTTCCTATGTTAGAAATCAAGAAATAAACTTTTAAACTCATATTTCAAAGAAGAAATCATAAATTAGAAAATACTGTAAGCTGAATGATAAGGCATGATGTATCAAAATGTGGGAATCAACTGAAGCAGCACTTAGAAGGAAATGTATAGCCTTAAAAACAAATGTTGGAAAATAAGAAGGGCTAAAAATTAATCAGCTAAGGCATGTCTCAAGAAGCTAGTGGAACAGCAAAATAAACTAACAGGAAGTAGAAGCAAATAAATAAGAAAAATCTGAAGTAAAAAAGAAACATACAATACAGGGAATAAACAAAACCAAAAGTTGGTTCCTTGAAAGTGGACAAACTTCTGTCAAGAGCAATCAAAATGAAACAAAGGCACGTCGATGAAGGAAAAACCAGCGACGCTTGTTCATCTTCTGACAACGTTCGGAAACTTAGGCAAAACGGACTGATCCCCGGAAAATGTAACAAAAAGGAACAGAAACCTAGAAACTCCTAAAACCTTTGAGAAATTGAATTTATATTCAAAAATCTTCCCACAGGAAAAAAAACCCAGATCCAGATGGCTACAGTAAACATATTTTACCAATTTTTCAAGGGAGAAATAATATTAACCTTACAAAAATTCTTCCAGAAAATGGAAAAAGATGGTATGTTATTTGTCTTATGATTATAGCATAACCTTGACAACCAAGCCAAACAAGAACCGTATTAGAAAGGAAGACAATAGGCCCGTTTTATTCATAAACATAAATCACAAACAAAACATTGACAATATGAATCCAAGTTGGATTTATGCTAGGAATGCAAGGTTGGCTTATACATTAGAAAACTGATATAATTTATTACAGTAACAGACTGAAGGATTATGCATATTGGATGTCCTAAGCAGTGCAATAAGATGAGAAAAAGAAAATATGCAAGGATTGAAAATGATGAAACAAATTCATTGTATGTGGAAGATATGGTGGCATAGATAGAAAATCGAAAGGAATTTATATATAAATTATTAGAATTTAAAATTTTTTGCAAGCTTGCTGAAAACAAAAAATACCAAAATTCATTGTATTTCTATATACCAGAAGTAGTTGGAAAATAGTTTTAAATAACATTTTAAAGTTCCAAGCACTGAGTTGCACATTCATGTCAGATAATGGCAGCTGCCTAAATCTCTTCACACAGTCTTCAAAATTCACACACACACACACACCACACACAATTTAAAATTATCACTAAAACCACCCATACCCCATCTACAGATTAACCAGAAGACAAAAAGTACTGCAAGTTTATGAGTAGAAAATAAACATACAAATCTAGCCATCCTTGCTCCAGAGAGAAACCCTGTCTCAAAAAAAAAGAAAGAAATGTTGGAACTTAATTGTCATATAAAAACAAAAGTGAATCACGAAATCACAAGACCCACAAACCTCTTCGGTCCCATCTATTAAGTAAATTGCACTTCCATTTATCAACAGTAGAGGGTACTCCTGGCCAAGAAACCTAGTAAGCCATCCAGCCCTCCTGTCTGCCTACATAAATCACCTCTTATTGCTGAAACAAGAAAATGTAAGGAATTTCTAAGTGAACAGAAAATAGCATATGAGGCAAATGATATTAATGTTCTTGAATTTTTATTCCCTCTTTCCTTGAAAACCTCATCAACTTTAGGTATGGCCGTGTGACCCATTTTAATCAATGGAATGTGATTGGACATGATGTATACCACTTCCAAACAGAAGCTTTAAATGTGATTTTCTGTTTGACTCACTCTCTTGTGCCTCTGCTCCAGGCTCCAGACTTTGAGCCTCTAGAACTATGATAGAATAAGTTTCTTTTGTTTTAAATGCACTAAGTGTGTGGTGAATTTTTTACAGTAGCCTTAAGAATCTAATACTAACACAAAGAATGTTAGAGTTGAATTAGAGGTGTCAATGAGAACTTAGGAATTTTTTTTAAAGTATATTCTTAGCACTGTTCACACTGCAGTACTAATGAGCCCATCTCATGGCCAAATCTTGATCTCTAACTACCACTTCCCAGTAAAAAGAACCTGAGCTCCTTAGAGAAATGACTTTTCCCAAAGCTGGAGCAAGGAAACTGCCCTGTGAAAAGAACACAGAAACCGGCCAGATTTCAGACAATTTGAGCATCAGAAGAAATAATGAGTGTAGTAAATCATAATACATATGATAAAGAATACAGAAGTTCATAATAGTTTTTGAAAAGTAAAAGGAGAGGGGAAGCTTTCCTTCACAGAAGAATTCTAGCTGATAAATGTAGAAGAAATGACAAATTTGGAAAATCACCTTGCAACCATCAATATACTGTAAGGAACGTTGATGCTAATATTGTTGGATAAAGCTTGTTGCGAAACAGAATATTTGCACGGTCTGAAAGTCTCACCCCAGATTGTTAGGAAAGGGAAAGGGTTACCTTTATAAATACAGAGATTAGGTAGACATCTTAACGAAGTGAGCAAACTTAGCATCATCTCATGCCCCCTGATTTAATACAGTAAGGATTAAGTCTAACAAAAAATGTACAGAGCCTCCAAATACACCATAAACATTTGTAAAATAATCTCAGAACAGGAACCTTAATGCTTCTCACAAGTTTTGTCAAACACAGAACTTTATTTCTATAGACATATATGCTATATTTGCCAGGCCATATACAATTACTTTATATTGTAGTTGCCTTGAATGACACGTTTTGAGCATTCAGATCTTCATTTTCCCAAACATCAACCCAGTTATAGGTGGCCTTTGCTCCAAAGTCCTGGAGTACCTAGATGCCTTGAGTCTTAGACTGTCTTCCCACCTCTTTCTTCCTTCTGCACCCTGTCCTGCCAAGGTTGCCCAGCCGCACTAAATTACATGCCTTACTGTGTTGCATTCGTTATCACTCTAAAGTTGTCACCAACACGCGTGAAACCACCTTATCTAACTAATAATGATTATAATATTATTTTCTGAGCTCTATGTACTCTTCTTGCCACAGCAAATGCATTGACGAGAGAGTCTGTTGGCCGAAGCCTGACTATCTCCACGTAGTCCAACACGGGAGCTGCATGTGACTGAGGACAAAGCACTTAATGTCACTGAGGTTTGGGAAGTGGGCGAGAACATTCTAGATATAAGGCCTAGTTACAGTGACGGCCTCCAAAGTAGGGTGCCCTTAATTCTAAATGTCCCAGATCCGTGGGTTTAATCCTGGAAACAAAGAAGTGACAAAAGCATCTGTGCTTTGAAGTGACCATTGTCCTGTCAGACAATCAATAAATGCTATCTTTCCTCTTTCAGATTTTTCAGGGAAATCAAGACTCCTTCACACCTGTGGTGAACTCTCTAGACCCACCGTTATTGACACGCTACCTTCGAATTCACCCCCAGAGTTGGGTGCACCAGATTGCCCTGAGGATGGAGGTTCTGGGCTGCGAGGCACAGGAGCTCTACTGAGGGTGGCCTCACTGGCTTGCCTTGTACCTTTCTGTTGATCTTTGGGTTACTTCCTGCCCTCACATTGTCCATGGCACCATTATTTTGCTATGTATTTAAACTATAGAGTCCCAGCAGACACTGCCTTGAAGCCTCTCAAATAAACTCTCATTAATCCTGCATTTACTTGATAGTGGGTGGGGAGGGTGTATCCAATTTAACTTAACTCTTACCAATTTTCCACAGCTGCTCACAGATTGGTCCTTCCTTCCAATATAACTAGGCAAAAAGAAGTGGGGAAACCTGCATGGAAAGCATTCTTCCCAGACAAGTTTGGTTTCTCACAATCACCACTTGCTCTGTTGTAGAAAAACTATATGATAAAAGTTGGAAGAAGATTAAGCTTCATACACTGAAAATAAAACTGTCAGTTGTTTATTTTCCAGGTCAAGCATGGAACAAAACATGTTTCAGGAGAAGATCAATAGAGTCTTGAAGTCAAAAGGCAAATCACTTGGACAATCTGCAACATGGAGTTAATACAACTACTTCATCAAAGTCGGTTTTGCTTCCTTACACAGTCAGCTTGAGGCATTGCGAAGGACACGTTATTATCTCCAAAACTAGCATTCTCAAACTGAGAATCATGGATGGGGTTCAAGAATCCCTAAGTCCCCTGAAATTATGTAAGACATTCTGTATGGATGCAAATGTGCATTTTTGCTGATGACTGTCCGTAGATTTAATCTCAGAAAGATGTAATTCTGACCAATAAATAATGGGTTAGGAAGTTGGAATGTTGAAAGCTTGGAAATGAAATAACAATGTCTTCTTTAAATTTGTGATGGCCAACAAAGAAAATGATGATGATAATAGGCTTCTAAAAACATATATTTACTATTTATGTGGAATTTGAGGAAAATACATGGTTGTCTGGGATAGGAGATACAAACTTTGTAATTCTATTAATGCACTCAGTTTACTCTCTCCCTCTTCTAATTTCCTGATGAAAACACAATAAAAATGTAACAGGTCAGAAGAAAAACACACGATAGGATCCCCCATCTTGCTCTACAGTCCCATAAGATTGTGAATGGTTTACTGCTCCTTCCATCTGCCTGACCCCTTCACTATGACCACACAACATCTTCTGATAGTAAAGGGGCTGGAGGAAGCAACCCAGGGCAATTTGGAAACCGGAGCTCCTAGTATGAAAGAAAAATGGATCCCAATCTGAGAAAAGGCAAAAGGTTTATAGCTCTGTAAAGTTCTTAAAGATTAGAAGTTAGAGGTTAAAGTTTACAGAAATGAATAAGTTGTTTCGTTTTATAGCCTGGTAGAGGAGTTAACCCCAAAGGTGATTGTTTTATTTCCTGTGAAACATTAACCACTCTTATGTTTAATTTGATAATCTTGTTTTGCATTATTTTCCCATTTTTATTTTTTATCTTCCTGCTGGTTTCTTAAGTAATGAGTTAAATAAAACATTTACACATACAAACAAATGCTTTTGAGAATTGTGTTTTTACACTGGAAATAAAAATGTGAGCACTGATATTTTTAAAACAAATACGGGCGCTGAATAGCAAAATGGACACTCTAGAAACACCAAATTCATGAGTTAGAAAACCAGACTAAATTGAACTCTGAGTAAAACAATATATAATTCATGAGAGGCTGAATAAAATAAATCAGAAATGGAGTCTCAATCTAGGAGAACAGCTGATATACAGAGAGAGAGACTGAGAGAGAAATGGGAATTTCTGTTCAATGGGCATAAAGTTTCAGTTACGCTTCTGGGCACGGTGGCTCACACCTGTAATCCCAGCACTTTGGGAGGCCAAGGCAGGTGGATCGTCTGAGCTAAGGAGTTTGAGATCAGCCTGGCCAATATAGTGAAATCTTGTCTCTGCTAAAAATACAAAAAATAGCTGGGCATGGTGGCACATGCCTGTAGTCCCAGCTACTTGGGAGGCTGAGGCACAAGAATCACTTGAACCCAGGAGGTGGATAGAGGTTACAGTAAGCCAAGATCAGGCGACTGCACTCCATCAGCCTGGGCAACAGAGTGAGACTCGATCCCAAAAAAAAAAAAAACAGTTTCAGTTATACAAGATGAATTAAGTTCTACAGATCCAATGTACAACATTGTGCGTATAGCTAAAGATACGGCACTAGGCACTTAAAAATTTGTCAAGAGAGTAGATACCATGTTGTGTTCTTTACTACAATTTTACTGCAATGCAAAAATGCATTGTATGCAAATAGAATAGCAAAGAATGTATGCAATGCCCATGAGCATAACATTCTAGTGGACCCACAACGCATTGGAGTTCAGTGAGACTTAAAGAGAGAAGAATGTGAACAAACTCAGTGGGGAGGGGAAAATGAAACAGGTGGTCCCATCTAACTTCCCTCACAAAATACAAGTTCAAAGATAAAACTATTTATTAAGAATTTCAATACACTGACATCAGAGCAAACAAAACATAGGAAGCCAATCCTGAGTCCCAGGCAAGCTGGTACTTTTAGTCATCCTAGTTGATCCTCCAGTACAGTCAGGCTTTCAGACGACTGCAGCCCCAGCAGATATGTGACTCCAATCTCATCAGACACCCAAGCCAACCACTGAGCTAAGCCACTCCAAAATTCCTAACCTACAGATACTATAAAAATATTTCCTTCACAGCTGCTAAGTTAGAGCTCATTTTTCTTGCAGCAAAAGGTAACTTATATGGCAGCCATATTCTTTTTACAGTGGAAAAAGTCAGCCTATTAGGGTTCTAATTTTTCTTCTAGGGGAGGGATAGCAGGGGACGGGGGGATTGGGATGGGATAACACTAGGAGAAATACCTAATGCAGATGACGGGGGAACGTATACAGCAAACCACCATGGGATGTGCATCACCATGTAACAATCCTACACGATCTGCACATGTACTCCAGAACTTAAAGTAACATTTGAAAAAAAATTATATTTTATTTTTTGTATACACAGGATCCTGCTATGCTGCCTAGGCTTCATTTGCATTTTTTAAACTGTAAGTTCTGGAGTACATGTGCAGAGCATGCAGTTTTGTTACAAAGGTATACATGTGCCATGGTGGTTTGCTGCACCCATCAACCCATCATCTAGCTTTTAAGCCCCACATGCGTTAGGTATTTGTCCTAATGCTCTCCCTCCCCTTGCCCCCCACCCCCTGACAGGCACCAGTGTTTGATGTTCCCCTCCCTGTGTCCATGTGTTCTCACTAGGATAACTTTTTTTTTTTTTTTTGAGACGGAGTTTCGCTCTTGTTACCCAGTCTGGAGTGCAATGGCGCGATCTCGGCTCACTGCAACCTCCGCATCCTGGGTTCAGGCAACTCTCCTGCCTCAGCCTCCTGAGTAGCTGGGATTACAGGCATGTACCACCACACCCAGCTAATTTTTAAATTTTTTGTAGAGACAGGGTCTTACTATGTTGCTCAGGCTGGTCTCAAACTCATGGGCTCAACCTATGCTCCTGCCTCGGCCTCCCAAAGTATTGGGATGACAGCCACTGTGCCCAGCCAGAACTATTTATTTTAAATTAGTTTGTAGGAGTTATTTGTACGTTAACAATCTTAATTGAATGTTTGTTGTATATGCTGTGAAATTACTTAATTTGTCATTAATCTTTTATCTTTTTTAAACAATGTTTTGCTATATGAAATCTTTACTTTTTATGTTATAAATTTATCAGCATTTTCATTTATGGCTCTGGGTATCATGACATGCTTAGAGTAGCTTTTTCTGCACCAAGATCATACAAATATCCATTCATGGATTTTCTATCATACTTTTATGATAGAAAATCTCATATTTTAGATATGATTTTATTTTGTTTTGTCCTTGATCCATCTAGAATTTATATTTTGCACAGCATGGCAAAGGGCTCACACCCAACATCATATTAAATAATCTTTTCCCCACTGATATAAAATGCCACATTTACCATCTATTAAAATTCCATATATATTTTATTATAAGGTATAGTTAGATACTACATAGTGAATAAAATATCTTAGAATTATTCAAGCCTAAGAGGATATACCTACTGTAAAGATGGATTTTGGTATGAACACAGATGTTTATACATAGACAGAAAATTATGTCTGTGTGCTTAGCTGTCAAATTGATGATGTCATAAGGAGTGGTGGAATTCTAATTCAGAGACATAAGGAGAAGACTGACCAGCTTCTTCTGAAGACTTCTGCCCTCTAAAGACTAAGGCCTAATTCCATTGGCTTCGTTGAATTCCTTGGTGCTAAGTCCATTTTCAGGTAAGTGGTTTTCCACTGGACATGGGTCTCTTTAAGCCCTATCAAACAGTAGGTAAGTGTATCAGTTAAAAGTGTCTTAAGTAATAGGAGGCCCAAATTATAATGACTCAAATAAGAGTATATTTTTCTCATATCATGTAGTGCAGAGGTAAGCAGACACAGGTGTTAGTTTAGTGTCTTGAAATTGTCAGAGCACCTTCAGGCAACATGTCTTAAACAATATTCAAGGCAGCGTGAAGGGAAAATGGTAGCACCATCTCTTTTATAAACACAGCAAAAAGCCTTCCCAAAATCTACCCATCAGATTTCCCTTATGTTTCATTATCCAGAGCTATGCCTCATAGCCATACCTAACCTCAAGGATGGGTAAGAAAGGGAGGATTCAGCTTTTTCAGCTTATCTACTTGGGTGTACTAAATGAAAAACAGGTGGGAACAGTATCTGCCAAAAGTCGCCATTCATTCAAAAAATATTTATTGAGTACCTGTACTGCTTAGCAGTGAACAAAACAGACAAAAATCCCTGCACTCATAGAGCTTACATTATATCCAGGAGATACATATAATAAAACAACGTAAAATATATTCTACTGGGTTCTGATAAGGTTTTGGAGAAAAATCAAGCAGGTAAGACAATTGGGAAGTTCGTAGGAGGATCTAAGGAAAATCCTCCTTGAGAAGGTGATATCTGAGGACCTGAAGGAGGTTAGGGATTAAATTCTGAGAATACCCGGGGGGGCGGGAAGCAATCTCTCGAAAGGGAAAAGGAAGCGAAAAAGCCCCAAGGTAGGAACATGCCTAGCTTGCTCAAGATAAAATGAGGCTAAGCTGGAGACTAGCAGGAAGTAACTAGGACATAATCTGACCTTCAATTTACCAAGATCTCTATGGCCACTCACTGGAGAAGAGGCTTAAGGGAGGCAAGAATGGAAGACAGAAACGATGGTGGGTAACAGTGGAGGTGGTGTGAAGTGGCAGGATTCTGGATACATTTTGTAAGTAAGGGTGACTAGACTTTTTTGATAAAGTATATGAGAGAAAAAGAAGAGTCATTACTATATGTATAAATTTAAACAAGCATTTACTTTTTAAAGCAATATAAAAGTTTGTTACTTGAATATATAAAATATATTACAGAGTTTAAAATATAGATATATAGAAATTTAGTATATGATAGTGTGGCTTGAACAGGTGAAAGAGTTTCTACTAATTGGATTGGAGAAGATTGAAAAGAGATCAGGTGTAGGAGGAAATGTCAGAGCATAGTAAGGTTTGGTTTTGTTTTCTTGGAGGGGATACATTTTGCTTTGGAAACTAGCCATGTTCAGGAGTCACCTGTGTAAGTTATTCAACTATCCTTATGTTTATTATGGGGAGAAGCTTTTCAGAATATGAACTAAACCATCATTGTCTAACTTTTCAGACAAAGTTTCTGTGGAAAGAGCTACGGACAAAGAAATCTCTCCTTGACAAAGTGAGCTAGAATTACCAGCTCTTCAGCTGCAGCTGAAGGCGGGAGTCCATGGAACCCCAGAAGCTGCTGATAATTGGATTTCTGCTGTGCTCTCTAACTTGCCTCTTGTTGGAGAGAGCAGCTTCTCTTTCGCCTTTGTCTGCCTTGGGAATACAAGAAAAAGAAGGAACGAAACCATGCTCAGGGGGTGTGTTTGCTGTTAGGATGAATGCTCCTTTCTTCATAGGACGTGAGGTTTATGTGGCAGGTCAGGAATAATGGACTTCATGTTTAAAAAGAATATTCATTGAAAACCTATTCTGGTTTGGTTAAATTTAGTTTAACAAGCATTAACCTACCTACTATGTACCAAGCCTTTCTGAACTACATGGATTAGAATTTGAACAGCCTCTATTATGAAGGAGCTCACAGATACAGAGGCAAAGTCATAGATGCCAATCTTCCATGGAATATGATCAATGCTCCCAGGGGACAAGGGGATAATTTAAATTGTTTTGGGGGAGGGGTCAGAAAAGAGTTGACAAAGGAGGTGAAATTGAAAATAAACCTGATGGTCCACTGATCCACAATCTAGGTTCCAACATGCACATACTTTCCTTCTCTCCTTAGGTTTCCTTCCTCCCCGACTTGCCAAGGAAAAGACCCAATATCCCCAGCGTCACATTGATCATCACACTCCCCCGAGAGGTCCTTATTCAAGTTTCCCTGGCTCCTTCTTTCTCTTCCTGGGATACTGTCTCCCCTCAGCCTCCTGAAGGACTCCCAGATGTACTCTAGGCAACAGCACTTTAATAAAGGCTTGTTATCAATTAATGCTTCTCTTTCAAAAAGTACCCAATATACTCAAAACAACCCTTAAGATTCTGAAACAACAATTCTTGTTCCTATTTGAGTTACAATGAGGGAAAAATTGTATCCAACTCAGGATACTTTAAAAACAAAACATATGCCCTTTGAGCATCTTAGAGGCGGCACAGCAAAATAGTTTAGAATATGGGCTCTGGGCAACTATTTGAACTCGAGTTCAGATTCAAACCCAGCCCTATCATTTACTTGACCTCTCCTCAATGAATTTCTATGCTCCTTCTGCAGGTAATCACAGGTCCTGGCTGAAGAACTTCAGGGATTCCTTACGGGATCTTCTCAAGAGTGCCTTACCTCCAGCAGGCATTGTTGCTTTTTTTCTCACCTCAGCACTAATAGCGATCCTCTGCTGCTTCAGGTAAGTTTTTGTGGGAAGAAGAGAGGGGAGAAGAGAGGGAGCATGAAGGGAGCGGAAACAGCAATACTCAGGTTGCTCACCAGCCTGCATATGTGTAGTAAAGGGAAAGCTTTAAGAAATTCACTTCTGGGAGGAAAACTGCCCCATTTGTTACCAACGACTGACAGGTCACATTTAATGACCAGTGTTTACAACTGGTCATTTCTTTTATTAACTTTATTAACTCCTAATTTTTCTTCCCTGTGGCTCAAGAACTACACACAAAAATATATATAATTAGCTGTGCTCTCAATTTCCTGAAAATTTACCATAATATTTATCTACATAAAGCATATGAAGCCAAAGAGAATCCTGAGGAAAACAAAATAGTCAAACTAAATTTTCTGAATGACTACTTGCCTGTCTCTGTTCTGGTTGCTAGAAAGACAGAGAAAGAAGACAATTAAAAATTACAAATTGGTAGGTCAGTGCTAGGGTGGGAGAGAGATTCCAAGTGGGAGACCTATGAAAGTGATCAACAAAGGTATTAAAAGAGATAAGATCAGGAAACAGTTTGCAAGAGGAACTAAAAGGGAATAAAGAATAGAAATGGGAGGTCCTGCAGGGTTCAGAAATCTAATAAAAGTGGCTGGGTAAAGATCAGATTAAGGGTGCGGCATCACCTATGGCTCCTGTAACCTGAAAATGATCACAGGATCAAGAACTGTGTCTTGGATGTGGTTACTGGCACATGGAACTGACTGTTTTGAGAGAAGTAAATGAGCCATTAGTTGTAAACAATAGTTAGGCCTCCAACCTTCCATGGAAAAGAAGGACACCATCTTTGAGGGTCCCAACATTTGCTTCAGATGCAGCCATACAGAATAATGGATCCGAAGAGCCTCCCAGAGAGTGGACAGTGGGCCACAGAGCTACCCTTCAGAAGCAGGATTTGGGCCTAATTGACACTGCTGTGTGTCTCTCATTCTTCCTCTTTCCAATGGGAATGTTCCCTGTTTCATCATTGTTCTGGGGCGTGGAGATCAGGAGTTGACAGCTCATTTTAGTTCATAGGTCATTTAACCAACCAGACTTGAGAGAACTAAGCATCACCCAGCTACTCTGGACTTTGAGCTGGACACTGTGATGAATGGGATTTAGTCCTGAGGAAAGGGTTTGCCACAAGTCAGGTGTTCTGAAAGTAGACAGGGAGACAGGAATTTGGCATTCAGAGTATTATTAATGATCAACGCCAGTGGAAAATAGGGGGTGGAATGGAGACATAAAACTGCCTTTCAGGCCCAACAAAGCCTCAGTCAGCTCCATCACAGTTGTCTCATATTGGCCTGAAAGGGCTGGACCTCTCTAACCCCACCTCAATCATTCACTAGATGTGGGCTGCCCCAGGAAGTACGTGGAAGCTCTCTGCAGCTGAGGCAGACTCTGAATGAACTAACAGGTAGAGGCTCTCTGCTGACAACACTCTCAGCAGCTAGAGAAATAAGGCCTTTCTCAAGGGGAAATCTGGGTGAAATATTTCCACGTGCATGACAGGGTGGCTCTGTTCTGTATGTGAAAGGAAAAGTGAAACAGATACTGGGTGATCAGAAAGACAGACTGTAACAGAGACTTGCCATATGTTCACCAATCCTGTTCCTTCTTCTCAAGCACAGAGTAACATTATATTCCCAACCTTCCTTTCAACTACTCTGGGACCACAGTACCAAGATTTGGCCATTAAAATACAGACAAAAGCAATGTGTGACATTTCCAGGCCTAGCCAAAAAATGTTTTACACAAATGCATAGCTTCAACTGAAGGACTCTTAAGATGGTGAAGCCACATGATGGAAGGAGATCTTAACCTACGTCAGAATGAAACATGAGTGAAGGATCAATTTTATTCTGTGCTACTAAGATCTCAGGATTGTTTGTTATAGCAGCTGAATATTACCCTGACTAGTATACCTACCAACCAACGAGGGAAGCTGGAACTCAAATCAAGATATGTCTGGTTCCACATCTTTGAAGTCATTGTTACTCAAACTGTGGTCAGCAGGTCAGCTACATCAAAAGCATCTGACGGCCGGGTGTGGTGGCTCATGCCTGTAATCCCAGCACTTTGGGAGGCCGAGGTGGGCGGATCACGAGGTCAGGAGATGGAGACCATCCTGGCCATGGTGAAACCCACCTCTACTAAAATACAAAAGATTAGCTGGGTGTGGTGGCACGCACCTGTGGTCCCAGCTACTCAGGAGGCTAAAGCAGGGGAATCGCTTGAACCTGGGAGACAGAGGTTGCAGTGAGCCAAGATCATGCTACTGCACTCCAGCCTGGTGACATAGCAAGGCTCCATCTCAAAAAAATAAAAATAAAAATCTGACATATTGGTTAGCCATGCACATTCAGAGGGACTTCTGTGAAGAGAAAGCAGGTAACATGCCAAGAAAAATAATTCCTTCTTCTTTGAAGTAGATGGCTTAACCTGAAGAGAAAAACCAATAAGCCCTTGCTGGGAACAAGCAAGCAAACTAGTGAAAGAAACATTTCTGGACCCAATTGGGCACCAAGTAGAAGCCTAACAGATAAATTTGAATGAATACGCATACAGGCAAGCCATTTTTTCAAGACGCAGTCTGGTGAGACAAGGAGGTAAAGTCTGAAACCTCTTATGCTCAGACCTACAGCTGCTGCTCTCAATGGGCTGGAAAGAACTAAAGGCTACAAGAGCTCACACATACCTCAGTGTCACGAAGATAATTTGTTCGTCTCAAGTATAGCCCTGTTGTCTTGTGCAAATCTCCTGTAAATAACTGGTCCAATAAGAGCGTATCTCATTCAACAGGAACCAGCACCAGATTTATACAGAGTTGTTGTATGGAGAAGACAAGAAACATATAAGCAAGAAATGGCAGAGACAGGGTTTCACCATGTTGACCAGGATGGTCTTGATCTCTTGACCTCGTGATCCACCTGCCTCGGCCTCCCAAAGTGCTGGGATTACAGGCTTGAGCCACCACACCCGGCCTGGCGCTGACTTCTTTACACTACAAAAATATGTTAGAGCAGATGAAAACCGTGTAACATATCACCTCATTTCGGTGATAGTTTTACTTTTTGTCTTTTATGTTTTTCTTGGGATTGTCCATCTAATTTTCATCTTTTGTTTTCGTATATCTTATCTTCCCTGTTGAAATGGTAGATGCAGGAGGCATCTACCTGCATCTACCATGTAACATACCTCTAACATGTTGCCATAAATTCAAAACATTTGATAAAAAGTCGTATCTATAAAATAATGGCTAAGGTCGGGCATGGTGGCACATGACTGTGATCCCAGCAGCTTGAAAGGCTAAGGTGAGAGGATTGCTTAAGGCCAGGAGTTTGAGACCAGCGTGGGCAACATAGCGAGACCTCATCTCTACAATAATGATAATAACAATGATGATAAAAGCTATATGCAGAAATACAACAGGGAAGGACACATCAAGTACCAGGAAACATTGGGACTTGGTACCGGGTACATAGTAGACTCTCAGTAACACTTACTGATTTTTAATTAAGACGTTTCACAGTGAGGATTGCATCGTTCTTACTCCTGAATACTCACCTGTGTATACCATCAGCTGCAGCTGTAATGAAGGCTTCTTACCTGAGGCACATGGAAGCTTGGCTAACCTCCCAGCATTCCAGAGGCAGAGGTGGCAATCAGGAGGACTGACAGGCTCTAACAAGTCCACAAAAATATGTGTACAAGGAATTTTTAGTATGGTTTACAATGGCGAAAAAATGAAAACTTAAATGTCCATTAGTCTGGGGCTGGCTAAAGAAAGCACTGCACATTCATACAATGAGCACTAAGGATAACTACACAGAAACATATTCATGAAATATCATTGAGTGGAAAAAGCATATTTTAACAGAAGATATATAGTCTAATTTCTTATTAAAAACTAATTGCATAGGGGAAGCCTCTAAGAACCTAACCGAAGTATTAGACCCTTGTGGTAGTGAACAGGTAGTTTTATTATTATTGGTGTTAACTGCTTTTTGTCATCTCATTGCACTTTCTGATCTTTCTACAATGAACTGTGTTGTTTGATCAGTTCATTTTTTAAAATATACTTCTTTTTAACATAAGGAAAGTCTTTATTCTAAAGGATTATCACAAGAGCAAGCAAAAAGGTTGTAGCTGTAGGGAGAAGGCATTGACTATGAGATCCACAAGGGGTCTCAAAGCAGAAAAGGGCTTTCCTTTAATAGGGAAGAGTGAACATTGTAAAAAAGAAGCTGTGAAGGGAAGGTAGAAACAGGATGAATGAGTGATTAGACAGTAGACAAGAGCATGTTCCCACTGAGGCCAGGCTATTCTCAGGAAGGGCTGCTTAGGGAGGGTTAGACGCTCACTCAGGCTGAGGGAGGACTGAAGTTCAAGATCCTTGAGGAAACAGAAAAACTCAGTTCACTTAAGCATTTTGTTCTGATTGATCACTGAAGACAAAATAATTCAGCTAACCATTTATGGGGTAAAGCGTGGGAATTTGGAGGACCTATGATCTGGCCTTATCGCAGAAAAACACGAGGCACCCATGAGTCTTATCTAAGTCCTATGAGAAGGTTGTTTTGGTTTTTTTCCCCCCCTAGTAAGTCACTTTCTGAAACACAAAAGGATAATAGGAGGACTTTTTCATCATTGCTGTTTTCCAGGATCCTAGGGCTCGCGTCAAATGTCACGTTGTTCCTTCTCTCTTAATTTCAGTCTTAGTTATAGGTCAGGTGGCTTATTAACAGGAGAAATTTGTTTCTCACAGTTCTAGAGGCTGGAATGTCCAAGATCAGGGTGCGGACAGACTCGTTGTCTGATGAGGGTCTGCTTCCTGGTACATAGACAACTGTCTTATTGTTGCATCTGCTCTAAGGCCTGGGAGTATGAGATCAACTTGCTAGAGTAGTCAGGCTCTGGTAACTGCCTTCTTCCACACTGCAGACCCTCGCTCCTCAAACCTTCACGTGGAGGAAGAGCTTTAAAAGATACTTTAAAAACAAAAGAAGAAAAACTGCCTGACCATACTTCTACCACTACACCCAAGCCCCACTGTACTGGAAACACATGCTTGTTATGCTTTTTCCAAATAATCTAATTATTTTGTTTGTATGGAATTATTTGGTTCATATTCAGAGAAAAAGTGGTCTAAAATCCAATTTTTAAAAAGGTGACATAATTTCATAGTAACTCTGTGCAGACCAGGAGAGTATATAGCATTCACCATTTTACCTTCTTTTTCCAGCATTCTTGTAGTTGACCCAGTCCAGTGAAGAACTAGAAGATTCAATAGGGCAAGTGTGGTCTCTCATTTGCTGTCTGCTTAAAATGAGGAAGTATTTTCAGTTAAAATTAAATTGTCTTCCAACTTAAATTATCTTTGCCTTCATTTTCTCCTTCAAAAGTTGCAATTTAAAAATGGGAATAGCCTTATCACTATTTTGGTTATAAAAGTAATATATATGCATTGCAAAAAAAATTTGAGAAATACAGAGAGAAGAAGAGTACCCATAATTCTAGCACCTACAAATAAACACCATTAACATCTTGATGTACCTCCCTTCAATGTTTTTTCTATGTATATATTACCAGTTTTCCAAAGTCTGTTCTGTGAACCAACACTTCTCTCTTAATAAAAGTCACGAAACAGTGAGGGCTCTATGGTCAGTTATGTTTGCTCCAGGACTGCTAGGAACTTTTCACAGGCTAATATTAATCTCCACAAGAGAGTATAACATACAGTATTTCCCAAACCAATTCAAACATGAGATTTTTTTAAATGTAGTGGATATGACATGAGTCATTTAACCACCTCCCCATATAATAATTATTTAAGGTGTTTCTGTTTATTCAGTATTATAAATGTAATACAGGTAATATTATTAAAAATTATTGGCCAGGTGCAGTGGCTCACACCTGTAATCCCAGCACTTTGGGAGGCCAAGGCGGGTGGATCACCTGAGATCAGGAGTTTGAGACCATCCTGGCCAACACGGTAAAACCTTGTCTTGATTAAAAATGCAAAAATTAGCCAGCCGTGGTACTGTGCCCCTGTGATCCCAGCTACCCAGGGGGCTGAGGAGCAAGAATTGCTTGAACCCGGGAGGCAGAGGCTGTAGCGAGCCGAGATCACACCACTGCATTCCAGCCTGGGTGGCAGAGCAAGAGCCTGGGAACTGCATTGGGCAAACCTGCCTCCCATTCTATCCCTAAATAAGATAGCTATAAAAATTAAAAAAAAAAAAACCTACATACCTCACAATTTGCCCACAAGGAAATTCCTTGTGAAACAAAGGGCAGGCAGAACTCGAAGTCATCCCTCTACTCACATGATATGAATGCATATCTGATTGTTTCTTTTGCTCTGTTGTTGCCCTAAGCCAGACTAAGGCATAATTGACTATTCCTGTAAATTGTATATTCAGTAAAAGGCTAATCAGAAACTCAAAAGAATGCAACCATTTGTCTCTTTTCTACCTATGACCTGGAAGCTCCCTCCTCTATTTAGTTGTCCCAGAAACCAGTGTTCATGTTACATATATTGATTGATGTCTCAGGTCTCCCTAAAACGTATAAAACCAAGCCGTGCCCCAACCACCTTTGTACGTGTCAACAGGACCTTCTGAGACTGTGTCATGGGTGTGTCCTTAACTGTGACAAAATAAATTCTCTAAACTGACTGAGACCTATCTCAAACATTTAAGGTTTACAACCCCTTTATCATTATATAAAGACATTCTTTATCTCTTGTGACAGATTTCAACTGAAAGTCATAAATATAGCCACCCCTGCTCTCTTTGGGTTACCATTTGCATGGAATATGGTGAGAATAGATCTTAACTGTTCTTATCACAAAAATATAGTGACTATGTGAGGTGATGCATGTCTTAACTAACTTCGTCACAATGTGTACTTTAAATATAGAAAACTTTGTCAATTATACCTCAATAAAATTGGGGGGGAAAACTTTTTTTAAAAGACTAGGAGTGATGAGTTGTTAGCTGGAGGACCTGACAGAAGCTTAAGGTACTGCTGCCAGTTGGGAGCTACTAAGAGCATTGCTCAAACCAAAATATGATGGGCTGCATTAGAGACCAACAGGGAGAAAGACTGGTGAACAAGAGACATCCCTGTGGACACCAGTGGCTGCCAGGTCACATTTGCAAGCTGATGTGAGGGAACCAATTTCCCCATAGTATGTGAGCCACTCACCATTTGTCTCACACATCAGATGTTAGAAAAAGACTATCATTCTTATCAGAGACTACCTGCAAAGACTGCTCATGAATTTACAGTAAACTTTAAATCAGATTGATATTTACTTACATTCTTTTTCACTAACTAACAGGTAGGAGCTTAGGAGGGAAGTCAATAAGTTATCATAAAATAGAAGAGTTGTACTTTCTGTGGACATCTGAGTTTTGGTGTTACAGGCATTTGGAACCCTGCTACTTACACAGCAATTTGTTGAGTAACTTTACACATAGTTTTTATACTTTCGTCCAAGTTGTTCCTTACTACAAATTACTGAATGTGGAATTGTTGGGTTATAGACTATGACCATATTAAGGTTTTTATATTGTTCCATACAATGTTTGCACCAATTTACATTCCAGGCTCAGAGCCCTCCTTCCTCTGTCCCTAATATTACTTCCTTGGTTTTCTTTACATTTTTTGCTAATTGTGATTGGCAATATATTATTTAATTTTGCCTGTATTTTAAAAAGTTCTTGAAGTGTCCTTCTGCTTCATGCCCCAGAATTCTAAAATTTATTTTTGAAATATACATACAGGAAAGAATGCAGATCATAAGTACATAGCTCAAAGAATTACCATAGAGATAATAAATTCCTCCTCCCCTCCCAGTCCACATCACCAGCCCCTCCTAACCCCCAAAGCAACCCTTATCCTGTCAGCTAACATATAACCTTTCGCATTTTTATATTTTATAAAAACTAAGCTATACATACATATGTATTCTGTTATTTTCTTCCTTTACTTATATAATGTTTTGAGATTCTTCCATGTCAATGCTTGTAGTTGCAGTTAGCCCATTTTCACTCATAATGCATAATGTCCCATAGTATGACGATAACTCTACTCATTTAGACTATCAACTGCAGAAGGATATTTGTATTGTTTCTGTGTTTCTTTTCTATTCTAAGTAAAGCTTCCAAATATATACTCGCACGTGTCTCACAGTGCACATGCACAGGTTTCTGTAGGGAATATACCCTGTGATTGAGTAGCTGGGTCAAAGGGTTGGCAAATGTTCCATTTTATGTATCCCAAATTGATATTCCCAAAGCCATTGCATCAATTTACACTCCTACCAGCAGTATGCGAATGTTGCCGTTATCTCATATCTGTCCCATTGTTTTCTTAATTTATATTTCCCTGATAACTGATGAGATTGAAGACTTGTTTTTTTCTTTTCTTTTTTTGTTTTTTGGTTTTTTTTTTAAAGGTAGGGTTTCACCATGTTGGCCAGGCTGGTCTTGAACTCCTAACCTCAGGTGATCCAGCCACTTCGGCCTTCCAAAGTGCTGGGATTACAGGCGTGAGCCACCACACCCAGCCGATTGAAGACTTTTTATGTGTTTATAGATCACTTGTCTTTATCATCTATGAAAATTCTGTTAATGGATTTTTGCCCATTTTTCTAATTAGTAGTTTAGCTTATTCTTCATTGATCGATAGGAATTCTTTATATACTAATTTTTTATAGTCTCTCTATGTGGAAAATGCTTTCTTCCAGTTTGAGAATTTTATTTTCACTCTCCATATGATGTATTTTGTTGAACGAATGTACTTATTTTAATATAGTCAAAGTTGACAATCATTTTCCTCTGTTAGTATTTTTAGCATCTGTTTAAGAAATCTTTTTCTACCCCAAAGTCCTAAAGGAATTATCCTATATTGTTTTACAAAAGTTTTGGAAGTCAAAACCTTTATATTGCCTTTTATATTTAACTCCCTTTTTTTTTTTTTTTTTTGTGATGGAGTCTCGCTCTGTGGCCCAGGCTGGAGTGCAGTGGTGCAATCTCGGCTCATTGCAACTTCTGCCTCCTGGGTTTAAGGGATTTTCCTGCCTCAGCCTCCTCAGTAGCTGGGATTACAGGTGTGCACCACCAGGCCCAGCTAATTTTTGCGTTTTTAGTAGAGCGAGGTTTCAGCATGTTGGTCAGGCTTGTCTCCAACTCCTGACCTCGTGATCTGCCCACATCAGCCTCTCAAAGTGCTGCAATTACAGGCATGAGCCACGGCACTCAGCCAGATATATTTAACTCCTTCAGCTACTTGGAATTGATTTTTTGTATGGTGTGAGGTAGAGTACAATATCATTTCTTTATATATATTGTGAAGAGTAATAACTTTCCACTCATGAACTTCGAACTGAACTGCTGTACCTAAAGGCAGTTCTAGGAACTGAGAAAAGCAGATAGTTCCAATAAATTCCAAGAAGCAATAAACTCCAAGGAGCAAAACCAGATTTTGAACAATGACCACCTTGAACTGGAGCTGGCTGACCATAAAAAGGCATGAGAATGTTGAAAAAAGACAAGCTGTATGACCACCCAGCCTCTGAGGCACCATGTGAGAATTCATCAAGAAGGCACCATCTATGAAGACCAGGCCCTCCGCAGACACAGAATCTGCTGGTGTCTTAATCTTGCACTTCCAGCCTCTAGAACTGTGAGCAATAAATGTCTGTTGTTTATAAGTTATCCAGTTTGTGGTATTCTGTTATGGCAGCCCAAACAGACTAAGACCAATTAGATAGTACTGATGGTTGCACAACTCTGTGAATATACAAAAAAACACTGAATTGTTCACTCTAAGAGTCTCATGCTCTGCTGACTGTGCTAGCTGCATCTGCTAATTGTTCTCTTTAAATGGATGAATTTCACAGTATGCAACTGTTATCTCAATTTTTTTTAAAAGTACGTTTCATAAGATTGTCGCCGGGCGCGGAGGCTCAAGCCTGTAATCCCAGCACTTTGGGAGGCCGAGGCGGGTGGATCACGCGGTCAAGAGTTCGAGACCATCCTGGTCAACATGGTGAAACCCCATCTCTACTAAAAATACAAAAACTTAGCTGGACGTGGTGGCGCGTGCCTGTAGTCCCAGCTACTCGGGAGGCTGAGGCAGGAGAATTGCCTGAACCCAGGAGGCGGAGGTTGCGGTGAGCCGAGATTGCGCCATTGCACTCCAGCCTGGGTAACAAGAGCGAAACTCCGTCTCAAAAAAAAAAAGATTGTCATAGACTAAATGAAAGTATGTAAAATACACAGTGACTATATTCAATGAACAGTTAAAAAAAAGCTAGTAGTCTAATTCTTGACTACTGTAATAGAATTCTAAGTGCTC